CACCTTAAAACTGCGTTTATTACTGTGAAATCAAGTTCATCTATTTGTTTTCGTTTCTGATCCCTTTTAAGCTTACATCATTTTCTCAATCAGTCTGCAGAAATCAGCCCTCTTTTTTGAAACACAGAAAAAATTTTTCCGTAGTTTGACTTCTTTTGTAGGAATATCTGCAAAAAGTTTTCTCATGTCAGGAAACACATTTCTCGCCATTTTAAGTCTATTCTCAATATGATTTCTCCACCCTAATTTTACATTTAAAATTACCCCTAAACATCTAAAACTGTTTACGAATTTTATACTTTCGTTTTTATATTTAAGCGGAATATAGTTTCGGACTGCCACTGCATTGTTTACCAGCATAGCTTTCGTCTTTTTGACGTTTACATAGAAGATAATTGTCTGCGAATTTTTCTAAAGATTCCAAAATAGAATTTGTTTATTCTTCCAGATATTTTATATTTTCTTTTAATTTTTTCTCAAGCGCACCTTGTATGATAATTGTAAGATCATCGGCGAATAGATGAGATATTGCCTTCATAAAATATGACGGTGAAAAGTGAATATGTAAACGAAACAGTAGCGCAGCAAGTACGGAACCTTGTGCAGCTCCTACTAAAACATTGAAAATCCTAGAAACTGCATCTCCATGACTAATATACATTGACCTGTTTTGCAGCCAGTCACATATCCATCGCCTTAAAGATAGCGGCATTTCCAGGTCTTTTAGTGTTTTAAATAGAGCAGGATACTACAGCTTATCAAATGCTGTTTTAAAATCAATAAACAAACATAATGCAGGTCTATTGCAAGCGGCTACTGTTAATCTTAGTTCTTCTACGAGAGAGATAATGCGAGTTTGTAATCTTCGATGAGACATAAATCCTGACTGCTCTTCAGTTTGTATACCGTGTCCGACACACCACGCCTCAATTCTAGCAGTCATTATACATTCAAACCATTTAGCTAAATTTGGAAGAAGAGAAATAGATCTTAACCGATCTTCAAAAGGAAAAGCACCTTCTTTTGATAAATATATTCCCTTTGCAATTTTACCCTTTTCAAAAAAATCTCCATTTTCTGCTCATTTATTAAACAGGATTGTGATCGTGTTTAAATATTCTAATGAAAGGTTTTTCAATAAAAACGCTGATGTATCGGCGCTATCTAACGATTCTTTTGGCGCAAACTTTTTAAAAACACTAAGCACTTCTTCGAATTTTACTTTATCTAAGGGTTCTTTCGGCGATTTCAACAGTTTTTTGTATTCTCTCATACCTTCGTGATGAAATTTATTTTTATGATCGTATTCAGGTTCTGAAAAATACTTCTCATAAAAGTTTGCGAGCCTGTCAACTATTTTTTGGTCATCTTTTAAAACATCAGCTTCTACTTTAAGACCTTTAAATGATGGGAAATAAGGAGAATGTTTTTTATCTTATTGTTTCTCTTTTCTAGCTGTACATATATTTTTTTTCGGAACTTCTCCTGATCATCTCCTTCTGTCACGTCATCTCTATATACGCTTTTGTTCTTTGCTGGTACTTACATCCAGAAAATGACTTTGAGCGACCTCTAGGACTGAATTTTAGGATCAAATTTCGCGAGCATATCTTTTTCTGTAGACTCCAGACTTAGTGTTTTTTAGTTCTATAGACTGAATGAAAGAAAAATAGGTGTGAAATTTTAAAAGCAGAAATATGAAAACTTTGTTCATTTTAACCTTTTATCAAAAAATCAATTTTTTAAAGTTTTTTCATAGAAATGTAAAATTTAGCTTTTTTACTAGGTAACTCGATGAGCTTTATCCAACCTTATCAAAGAAAATGAAAACATATTTTGCTCAAGGGTTTAGTTTTGGGCATCTTACATGTACTTCCCGTCGTTGCTGGATTCAATATAACCAGGTTCTTCTGGTCAAGGATTAGATGAAACTAATCTATAGCGAAAAACCTCTAATGATAAACTAAGATTATGTATGAGGGAATGCATCGCTCTAATGTTGTATACATCTGGTAGAAAGGAAGTTGATCATAATCATTAACAACTACAGTGAAATACTTGAACAAACCTCAGAGGAAAGCAGTGAGTCATAGAGTAACAAGAAAAACAATAATGCCCTGTGTCCGAAATAAAAACTTGAGCGAAAAATTTTTCCATTTTCTTTGATATGGTTGAATAAAGCTCATCGAGTTACCTAGTAAAAAAGCTAAATTTTACATTTCTATGAAAAAACTTTAAAATATTGATTTTTTGATAAAAGGTTAAAATGAACAAAGTTTTCATATTTCTGCTTTTAAAATTTCACAACTATTTTTCTCTCATTTCGTCTGTAGAACTAAAAAACGCTAACTTTAGAATCTCCAGAAAAAGATATATTACGCAAAATTTGCTCTTAAAACCGGTGTAAGAGAAAACTTCTGTACTTTTTATGACGTTATTCTATTCTATTTTACTCTATTCGATTCTATACACTGTCCCTATTTCGCATATTTCATCCATCTACTATTGTATGTGAGTGTATGTTTTTAGTATATATGTGTGATAATCAACTTTTCTTTTCCGACTGTTCTCGACATGTAATGAGCTTTGTTGAATCAGATAAACTATGTTTAGAACAATATATGCCCATCGTAATCAATGACCTGGTTTACGATTCATATAGCTATCAAATCTCGTTGCATGCCTCTTGAAGACATTTTAGTTAACGGGAACCTTAATCTTCTCATGCTAGCTTAAGAGACTTTGCAAAGAATTTGTAGTGATTAAGCTTTTTTGTCGGATATAGAAGTGTAGATGAATACTCGCTCTAGTATACTCAAGATATAAAAATTCATACTTTTCTAAAATAACGAATACGTTGGAAGTATATATATACGCCAATGCAGTATGTATCCACAATACAAGCGAAAGGACGAAAATTAAATTAAATAAAATAAATTACAGTTTAAATACGGTGGAATGGCAGAGGAGCTGAAGGACCAACGAACAACCTGCAATCGGCAGAACGTCCTAGCGAATGGCATAAATTTTGAAATGCTTCCTAAGTTCGGATTATTTAGTCTTTCACAAATGCCCCTCACTCAAAGACGCTACATCAAATCACTTCGGCACTGCCGGCTAAGCGCGCCCTCTACTGCATCGAACACGAACTGTTTGAACATTCCACTAGAGTATCCCACATAACTGAGTATCAAAGCGTTGATTGTATTCCCAATATTATCACGTTTTTAAAGTACACTTGTCTAGAGGAGCAAGAAACTACCCGTATTGGTCTATTAGCAGCCTATCTTCCAGCCATATTGGATTGTCATTGAATGAGTCATAGAAATGTGTTCATTTCTCTCTTCTATTCTACTACGATGGCTAGAATCGAAAATCCTTCATGGTTTACCACAAAACAAATCGAGCCACATTTATTCTTAACTACTGAAAATCACTTTTTTGAAGGCAACCGATCAAATATTTGGCTCATACGTGGAGTAGCGCGTGATCTAATTATTGACTGTGGTTTAGGTGTCTGTAATTTAAAAAAACATTTGGAAAATCTTCAGTTACTCAGCAAAGACCGCGAGTGTATTGTTCTATGTACACATTCACACTTTGACCACAGTGGAGGAGCAAATCATTTCGAAAATGAAAGCAAAGTTTTGATTCATCAATATGATTATGATGGACTGAGAAACGGTCGACAAGTGGAAACCTTGAACTATGTAAAGCCAACGCATTTTTCTCAACAGCCTTATCAACACTTTTCCACATGGCAATACGAGGTTCCATCAACGAAATGCGAACCAATATTGGATGGTCATCGAATTGATTTGGGTAAAGAACCGTTTTTAGTCATGGATACGTAAGAGGGCGTATATGTGTTTATTTCAGGTGCTGGTGACGAAGTAACCGTGTTACATGTACCTGGCCATACTCGAGGAAGTATCGTCTGTTATTATCCAAAAGAGAAATCATTGTTCACCGGTGATTTTGTGTATGACTGTGGCCATGGTGGAAATTTATTTGATTGGTTGCCAACGTCGTCTGTTCAAGAGTATTTAAGAAGTGCAAATCGTATGCTCGACTGGTTGCAAGAGCACGACATTGATAAAATAT